CCAACCGACATTTTCTTTTCTTTTCCTCTTTTTCCCTGAAATTGAGTGATTGATATGTAGTTTGGTGTGGTGTGTTCCTTCTTTCCTATCAAACATCTACCATCTTTAGCTTTTTTCCTTCTTTTCTTTGTCAGTAACTGTCTTGTATTACCTTTAAATGTTCAGCAATTGTATGACCTATTTTTGCTATAAGTGCCCTAAGACTCTCACTAGTGGGTGGGTGGCAGGTGCTCTGGTGTGGTTTGCTTCTCCTTTCCTATCAAACATCTATCGTCCTTATCTCCCCTTCTTCTTTTTCATGTTTGTTACTCTCTTGCAACACCTCTAATCTTCTGGCGCTCATATGACCGTATGCAGTTGCGAGTGCCGTAAAACGTCTACTAAAACTTTAAAAAAAACCAAACTCTCACTGACTCTTAACTTTCCCCTGCAGGTGATGAACTGTGTGCGTATTGCCAACATCAGCTCCTACTACTTTTGCGACAAGATCGACACAGACCCACTGCTCAAGGAAAACACGGAGATGTGCAGTCTCCTCGACACTATACGCTGTTACCACATGCTCAAGGTGGGTGCCGACCAAGAGACCAGTATTTCCCCATAGTTGTTCAAAACCAAAAGAAGACATGAAAATGAGCTTTAACGCTTTGCCATAACAAGGTTCATATTTTTACAACCCTTGCCATCAAAGGGAAAGGCATTTTGAGGAAAATCCAAAGAAACTGGGTGGTAAACTCGCCGATTGGCAAGATGTGACAGTAAAGTGTTAAAAATGGATGCGAATGGCTTGGAACCTCCTTTCTCATTGTGCAAAGGGCCAGTTGAGGAATACATTTACAGTGATTACAATGAACGATTGCAATGTATGGTTCTGGTTGGTTGGGCGGAAGTGCTCTGATATGGTTTGCTCCTTCTTTCCTGTCACACATCTGTCATTCTTGTCTCTCCTCCTTCTTTCCTGTCACACATCTATCGTTCTTGTCTCTCCTCCTTCTTTCCTGTCACACATCTGTCGTTCTTGTCTCTCCTCCTTCTTTTCTTTGTGTACTTTACTCTCTGGTTACAACTTTAATCTTGGGCTCTTGCATAACCTTTATGTGTTGCAAGTGAAAGAAGACTCTTAATAAAGTGGGTGGTTGGTGGGTGCTCTGGTGTGATTTGCTTCTTCTTTCCTATCAAACGACTATTGTCCTTATCTCCCCTTCTTCTTTTTTATGTTTGTTACTCTCTTGTATCACCTCTAATCTTCTGCCGCTCATATGACCTTATGCAGTTGTGAGCGCCGTAAAACCTCTACTAAAACGAAATATATATGTCTTTGGTGTGTGTGTGTGTGTGTGTGTGTGTGTGTGTGTGTGTGTGTGTGTGTGTGTCTCCAGAACCGGCAGCAGGAGATGGACGTGAAGCTGATGCCACGGCGCGGGATGGTGTACGAGCGCGGCGTCATGATCATCGCCAACCCGTACACGGAGGACATCCTCAAGAAGTACAACAGCATGGAGATGTTGCTGCCCAAGACGGGCGAGGTCATCCACATCTGCAAGCTGCCGCACAGTCTCTACACCCCAGGTACGCGCTTTGTTTGGTTGCTTTGGTGGTGGTTGCTTTTTTAAATATAAAAAAAAAAAAAATCATTTTAGTGTTGTTTTCCTCTCTTGTCATCTTGGCGCTCATTAGTGCTGGGCCGCTAGGTTCCCGATTACTGAAAGCTGGGAATCGTAGGAATCGACTCCGAACCCAGTTACTTACTTTCTAATAAAGTGATTTCTTCCGGTGGTTATCTGGTTGGCTCCGCGAACATCTTCAGGATTTAGGATAACCTTGATTTCGGAACACTACGAAACATCAACTTTTATTTTCCCAAAACAACTCCTTTTTTTTTTTTAAGAAGATGATGATTTTTATGATTGAATGGACTGGTAACCGTTGGTTTACGTAAAAAGGAGTCGGAACTTTTCTTCCGTAGCATTAGTCGTGGGGATCGGTTCCGGAATCGAGTCTTCGCCCAGCTCCAGCGCTCCTATGACCTTACGCGATTCGAGCGACGTAAAACCCTCTACTATTTTTAAAAAAAAATCATTTGAGTGTTGTTTTCCTTCATTGTCGTGTCAGAAATTGAGTGAATACAAAAATATATGTCTTTTCTTGAAATCAATTTGGTGTCTTTCTGTTTTTTCCTCATGAATGTGGGTGGTTAGCAGGTGCTCTGGTGTGGTTTGCTCCTTCTTTCCTATCAAACATCTATCGTCCTTATCTCCCCTTCTTCTTTTTTATCATGTTTGTTACTCTCTTGTAACACCTCTAATCTTCTGGCGCTCATATGACCTTATGCAGTTGCGAGTGCCGTAAAACCTCTCCTAAAACTAAACTGTTTTGGTGTTTGTTGTTGTTGTTGTTGTTGTTGTTAAATTGTTTTAGCATTGTTTCCCTTTCTTGTCGTGTCAGAAATTGAGTAAATACAAAAATGTCTTTTCTTGAAATCAATTCGGAGTCTTCCTATTTTTTCCTCATGGATTGATACAGATTAGGGTTTTTTTGTTGTTGTTAAATCAGTTCAGTGTTGTTATCCTATCTATCTCTGTCCTTTCTTGTCATAAGTCTGTTGGGATACAAATGTAATTTTTAAAAGACCAGTTCGCGGTTGGCCGGTGCTCTGGTGTTCCTTCTTTCCTATCAAACACCTGTCATCCTTATCTCCCCTCCTCCTATTTTGTGTTTGTTACTCTCTTGTAACACCTCTAATCTTTGGCCCTTATACGACCTTATTGTGCTGCAAGTGCCGTAAAACACTAAACAAAAGCTTTAAAAAAGCCCGAAAAGATCACTTCAGTGTCTTTTTTCTTTTTTTCTCTCATGAATTGATCAGCTACGAATGTTTTTAAAAAAAGTTTTGCGTGGCATGTTGGTGAAACCAGGCGTTTGTCAAAATGGTGAAATCGAGGAAGCCAGTACTTTTCCTGCTCGTTAGGCAATTTTTATCCACACTTTTTATGTCCATTTAAAAATACGTGCCAGTTTCTCGATTTCGGGATCTTGACGAGTGCCTGATTTCACCACGTTGCCTCCTCACAAATGAACAGGCGTTAAGTAAATAAGATTATATTGTATTTACCAAAGAATGACGAGCACCTCCTTTATTTTTGTTTGTTATTCATTTGTAACACCTCCGATCTTGGGCACTTGTGTTACCTAATTGTGTTGTAAGAGCACGAAAACATCAGTAAAAATGTATTGGTGATGGTGTCTTTTCCTCTCTTTCGATAAATGGGTCTTTTTCTTTTCATATATCTTAAATTGTTTGAAAAGAAAGTGTTGTTGTTGTTTTGTTTTTTAAGTAACTCCCCCCAGTGTTTCATTTTTGCTTATTTTAAATAGATTCAATACTGGTGTTTTAAGAAAATTTTAATTGTTTAATTGATTCCTTGCAAATTTCCTTATTTTAAACTTTTTTTAACCCACCCACCCACACACACTCACACACTCACACACTCACACCCACACCCACACCCACACACTCTCTCTCTAATGCTCACACTCTCGCTCATACACACACACACACACACACACACACACACACACACACACACACACACACACACTCACACACACACACTCTCTATATATATATGAGATGGGCGCCCGACTCTGTCAGTCAGGGCCAGCCCGGGCAGAGAGAGATACAGACTCCCAGCATAATGACCCAGATACACGATAAAAACTTCTTCCCATTCTAGAATTGAACCCGGGTGTCCTGTGTGCCACACTGAAGTGTCAACCTCTCCTCAACAGACACCGATTTGTGCCAGATAATGATAAATAATAAATAGCATTAATAGTATAGCGCATGTCCCCACCCGAAAGCCAGCTCTGTGCTAGGGCTGGGCAATGAGTTACTTTAGCAAAATCCGGATAATATGCTAGTGCCTCTCTTTGGCAAAAATATTTTATGAACCGCTTCGGCAAATGGGTTAGAACCACTTTGACAAACGGGTTAGCATCACTTCAACAAATGGGGGCACCCACTTCGGCAAACGGGTCAGGAAAAAGAGTTAAAGAGTCTGAATTCGGATAATGTCTTATTGAGGATTATCCGATTATCCGGATATTTATCCGGATTTTGCCCACCTCTACTCTGTGCGCTTTACACTATAGAGCAGATCTGACACAGACATCGACGATCCTGGTTCTTCATTAAAAATTTCCTTCTCCCATCGGATGCTCTAAACAATCCTATAATAATAATAGATAGCATTTGTATAGCGCATATCTCCGCTCAACAGCAGGCTCTATGCGCTTTACACTATATTATTA